CAGCTTCAATCTCCGATTCGCTCGCCTCGTGCTCGAAACCGTTCGGTTGATTTTCGGAACCGAAATTATCCGGTACTTTCATTACTTCTATCTGGAACAAGAGAACTACTTCATATGTATGTGTTTTTGTTTGCTACTGTGGAACGTTTCGTACATGCGTGGAAAGTCATAACTGGTTTCGCATTTATTTAGGAAAAGGAAGAGTAAGTCACGCATGCAGCATCTAAAGAAAGTCTGACAAATTATATTTTTGTTGTACATTACCAGTAAAGCAATCGCTGGCGCTTTCTGAGAAAAACCGCTTCATTTGAATCACTCTAGATCTATGTTGCATTTGATTTGAGGAAAGTTTTTCACGAAAGTTTCTGAACCCATTTTTTGGCTTTAAACGTAATTTTGCGTAACCGCACCCGATTTCATCACTCGTTTGGCTATGCCTTATATCCTTCCTCGGCTCTTTCCTTTTTTCTAGTCCTAATTTATTTTTAGTGCTTTCTCCCTCCATGATATGAAGTTTTCTTTCCCGAATATTATCATTGACCCAACTGTTTGTTGAAAAATATTAATAATTTGAACAGCTACAATTCGCCAGGTTTAATCTTTTAACTCATCACCTTCTGCCCACTGAATTATGGCTGAAAAAAAAAATTCTCAGAGCAAAATCACCTTGAAGCCGCCAAGGAATTGTCCGTTGTGTCGAAGGGCTTTCTTCGCATCTGACAACTGGAAAAAACTGACGAAGGCGGCGGCTTCCGAATCATCGCGTACAATTTTCACGCCCTTCAGCCTGATTGGACTGAGCCAATCTTTGATATTTTTGGCTTTGACTGACTTCGCAAGGCCACGTAGTATCAGTGATAATGATGTATCGCCTGGAAGACCATTTCAATTACAATTCGCAGTAAACTGTAATCGAGGCTCTATTGCTTCAATATTCAGAAGTTGTGGTGAGGAAGCATAGCAGAGGGAAGGCCGTGGACAAATGTATAACCAGAAAGAAGTAAAAAATTTCAACAAACTTACCGAGATCGTTCTCCTTTTCTTTGCCCTTATAATACAATTTAGCTATTTTTGCATAACCAATGCTGCTATAACAAAATACTGTGCTACACTCATTTAATAAGAACAATCTATGAACAAGGGCAAGGTTGCCGCCCGTGACGTGGAAAGCCCAAGCGGAATAGCATGAGTGCTTTCAGCCCAAAATTGAACAGAACGAAAACGATGCCAAATGCACCAAAAGCAAGGGGAAAACTATTCGAAGCAC